TTTCCCTTCTTTCTTTTTCTCTGTAGCACCAATCATCATCTGATATAGTATATATTTTATATATTTTATTTATTCATTCCTCATGCGAGAATGTTAATTAAGCTCCAGATTTTGGGGTGGAAGGATATTCACTGATAAATCTCTCCAGAGCCTAGAATGGTGCCTAGAACACAAAAGCACTCAATAAACAGTCGTTGAATAAATGAATGCTTATGACTCTGTTGCCAAGGAACAGGACATAAATACTCACGGACAAAACTTAAGATTGTATTTCACCTACACTATGGTTAGGTTTCAGAGACATAATTTTGCCCAGAGAGTAAATTCAAATAAGACTACTACATTTTATACCAAAACTATAATTAAAAAAAATAAACATTTATTTTAGCCTTATGTTACACTTAAGTAAAAAAAGGCATAAAAAGAAATAAGGAGCAATGGCTAAGGCTCATCTTTATGATTGTAACATAAACATAAAATACAAATTAAAAACATGTTTTCAGGGACCAGCAAATGGCATAATGGTTATGTCACTGGACTCCCATACAGTCTACCGTAGTTTTGAGTCCTATATGGCTTGTGCATATGTGCCTAAGATCCTGAGAAGAGAATGGAGGAGAGGGAATTGTGATATGGCCAAAACCCCTGGGGGGTGATTTCTTGCTTTCTGTCTCTCTCCGTCTTTCTAGTGAGTACCCTATAGCAAAAATGTCTCTCTTAAAAAACAAAAAAACAAAAAATGTTTTAATTATTTTATCTATTTAAGGACCTGTGGCATAATACCATTTTCTTGATGAATAAGTTCTGTGATGGGAAAACAGGACTCTTTAAATGTTCTAATCTCTACAACTAGGGTGGAAATATCCCGGTCTTAATTAACATAAACTAGTATTCCCTAGCTTATGGACCTCAATGAAAGGGTCTCTTACCTTACTAGCTGGAAAATCCGCTTAAGATAGGACTTTATTTCCTTGACAGCCTCCTGCAATAACCGGCGGTTAGCTCCCACACCCACATATGTCATCCTATACACTGCAACCAGCGTCTCCACCAGCCTGCCCAGAGGGTGCATCGGGGTGTCACAAGCCTGAGCAATAGAGAATCAATTAAGTTGATCAATGTGCGTTAATAGCAGAAACAAGTCAACCAATAAATAAACAACTTCATAAATTATAAACAATTTCCAAAATGCCAAGAGTCATTTCTTACATCTGGAAAATTGTAATGCTTTCATTTTTCTTAAAGTATGGTGTCTATTCAAATTAAATAGAGGTGAAGTTCCAAATCTTAATCAAAGAATCCTTTTACCATCTTGGGAACATTATTTCAGAAAACTGATAGGAGATATACCAACTGATAAAATGTGTTAGAAAGATTCGAATACCATAACATTACTTTCAATAATGTTACTGTTGAATACACTTTAAACTTGACAAAAATTATATAAAACTAAATACTGACTGTTATTTATGGTCTAAGTTACTCTTCAGTTGCCTTGATTTCTCAGAACACTCCTCCCTGCACTCCCCCAACAAAGTATATCACACTTCAAACTGTACCTAATCTTACAAGGTTAAAAAGGAAGCAAAGCGAACACACCCAGGGTCCGAGGGCAGAAAGCTTAGTTTATACAATCTCTAGACTGCTAATGTTACTGCCCTCCCCCCCAAAAAAAGTGCCATTTTAAACTCTGATCTTAGTTCTTGATAACCCTTTTTTAAAACTTAAAAAAAAGTTCTATTGTAATAATGGGACAATGTTCACATAGAAATGTTAGCAGTCAGCAAATTAGGAAAACCAAGACTTAGCAGAAACAAGATTATAGTAACATTAAGCTGTGAGTAGATTTGAATGATATATTGTATTAGCTCCACAGGTAATACATAAGCCAATGTAATTTAGTCTCTAGTTTACCTTTATTAAATATCTCTTGATGTCATCATACTTTTCCACTGAGAAGGCACCAACATGCTGTGGGATGAATTCCAAACTCTCTAGGGTCTGAGTCTGTGAACGACTTAATATTTCTGGACTATGGAAAGGGAAAAGAAAGCCTATTATGCATTTCACATCAAGAAAGCAAGAAATAGCTGGCCCTTCAACAGCATAGGTTTGAACTGCCAAGGTCCACTATAGACAGATTGAAACATTTATCTATCTATTTATTTGTCATGATTTTCAAGCCACTGGTTCTGGGTCTTGCACTACAGTTTACCATGTAGGAATCCAGCACTCAAACCACCATGCCATCTGTTGGCCTCTCTTCCTTATGATTTTAACATTTTCTTTTCTATAGCTTTACTGTAAGAATACAGTCTATAATACATATATCATACAAAGTTATGTTTTAATCTATCATTTATGTCATCAGTAAGACTTCAATCAAAAGTAGGACGTCAGTAGTTGAATTGTTAGAGTCAAAAGTTATGTATGGGGACCAGCAAATGGTGTAATGGTTACGTCATTAGACTCCCCTGTAGTTGACCGCAGTTCAAGTCCCAGACCTGGTGGCTTCAAATTCATACCGGGCCGATGTGCATGTGTGCCCAAAATTCTGAGAGGAGAATGGAGGAGAAAGAATTCTGGCACAGCCATCTCCCCTGGAGAGTGATTTCTTGTTTTCTGTCTCTCTGGTGAGTGCAAGCACCCCAAAGCAAAAATCTAAGGGAAAAAAAGTTATATGTGGATTTTTCAACTGTGTGGAAGGTTGACACACCCACACCCAATCTCCACGTTATTCAAGGGTCGTTTGTAACTGTACACATGAAAGGAGTCACCAGCTCAGGATAAAACAGCTCATCTGGACCCAGATGAGTTCGCAAATGGTAACGACCTACTAACAGGTACCCAGTTTACACAACATTCAGTCAATACAGCATTTAATGTTACTTTGTATCAACTACAATAAGTCAATGAAGGTTTTGCTCCCATTTAAACCACAGTATTGGTAAATACAACATGAGCTTGAAGACAAAATTGGTGATAGACCTGTTCATGATGAGATGATAATGGAATAAAAGGGATGCTGGGAGGAAGAACAAAAAATGAAATCACAGGGTAAAGGAGAAAATGAAAACGATCTTAAGCAGAAAGGAGATAAGGATACTCCAATGGGTGACAAGGTAAGCATATAATGGGTAAAGGGACATTTGGGATGAAAAGGCCAAGATGAAGCATATAGTAGTGATCAACTTATTTTTGGTAATGGCATGCTATCATTACAATCAATTAAAATTAGAAACTGGACGATCATTATTAAATTACTCTAAGATTTTTGTGACATCAAGATTCTTGTAGCAACATGGTTTTATATAAAAGTTCATGCATCCTCAGTCCTCAGAAATGCCCAACAGTAGTGAGTCATGGTTAAATGGAAAGCTCATGTCTCCAGGTCTATATGGACAGCTCTCTGATATTTCTCACAGCATTACCCAGAATTAGCACTTACAAAAGTTATATTAGGTCACCTGGAAAGTCATGATGTACTCATTTTTCCTATGCAGAAATGCATCAAGACTGAGTTCTTTTTCTTTTTTTAAAAGAATTATTTTATTTAACTTTATTTCAATTTGACCAGAGAGGTGGGGGGGGAGGGGAGAGCAAGCAAGCTGCCAGGTCTGGGACTCAAACCGCAGTCGACCATGTGGGAGTCCAGTGTCTTAAACCACCATGCCACATGCCAGCCCCAAAACTGAATTCTTGGGTCTAAATGCTGAGCACTGCTTGTAGGAGTTACTGGCCAAGTTGAAGAATAAGGAAAAAAAGACAGGTAGATGGAAAAGAGAAAAAAGGAGAAAAGAACAGAAAAGGGGAGGAAAAAAGAAAAAGGAGAAAAAGAGAGATAAGAAAATGTACATCTGTAACTGTTCTCACAGCATTTCAAAAATGTGCCACTTCTTTCTGGCCTCCAAGGTTTCTGATGAAGAACATGCTATCAGTCCCCACAAGCAGTGCATTATTTTTCTCCAGGTGTTTTTAAGCTCTTTTTCTTTGAATGTGAATATGATGTGTTTATGTGTGGATAGAACTGTTTTTTTTGTTTTGTTTTGTTTTGTTTTTTCCCCAGAGTAAGGTTTGCTCAGTTTCTTGAATATACAGGATTATGCCTTAAACCAGATTTGAGAAGTTTTTGACTGTTATTTCTTTAAAAAATTTTCTACCCCATGTTCCTTTCTCTATCCCTCTAGAATTCTAATGAACAAGTTTTTTTTTTTTTTTTTGAGAGATTTTCATTGTAGGGTGCGTGCGCCTGCCAGACAGACAGAGACATAGAGACAGAAAGCGAGAAATCACCCCCCACGGGGGATGGTCACGCCGCAATCCCTTCTCCTCCATTCTCCTCTCGGGATCTTGGGCACACACGCACACGCGCCCGGCGTGAGTTTTAAGCCACCGGGTCCGGGACACGAACCGCGGTCGACTACGTGGGAGTGCAGCGACATAGCCATTACGCTAACTGCTGGTTCCCTAGAATTCTAATGAGAGTTTATACCCACAGGTCCTCGAAGCGCCATACACTTTCTTTCCCTGATTTTTTCTGTTGTTAAGACTGGACAATTTCTACTGATCTATTTTCAAATTCATCAAGTCTTCCATCATCATCTCTATTCTGCTAGAGTCCATACCAGAAAATTATTTTAGTAATGGTATTTTAATAAGATAATCTTGCTTTGGCTCTCTAATATCTTCTATTTCTCTGTTGATGCTTTCATTTTAATACTTGTTTCGAGGTTTTGCCATTGTTCATTTGACCATTTTTATTACAGCTGCTTTACTGTTCTTCTCAGATAGCTCCAACACCCATGCCACCTCCTCACTGATGCCTGTTGTCTCTCCTCAAATGAGCTTAGATGTCCCTGGTTTCTTTGATTTGCTGAATAATTGTTGTTGATATTCTGGACATTTTGAGTACCAAGTGAAGAGACCTTGGATCTTGTTAATATCCTATGGAGAATGCTGACATTCATAAAAGAGCAAATGGAGCAAGTAGAAATTGTTATCTTTAGTGTGACATGCTTTTACAAGGTTGGCCCTTGGCTGGCGCCTGGGCACTAAGCTTGCTAAATTTCCTATACTGATATGGAACATTCCTTAGCTGATAAGGTAGTCTGCTGTCCACAGACTTTATTAACAATGTGGTTTATGGCAAACATCTGCTTTCCTTCCAGGGCTCTGGAGTTCTGGCAACTGCCAGGCATGGAATGCCTATGTGACCAGTCCCCAGGAAGAGCCTCGGGCATTGAGTCTTTAATGGGCTTGCCTGGGCATATGTGGCTGCATTTTACTGCCAGGAAGAGTGCACTCTGTCTGACCTCTTCCAGAAGGGAGGGAGAATGGGAAGATTACACATGGACTCCTCTAGACTCTGCCTGTGTCTTCTTCCCTCATGATCTGGCGGTATACCCTAACCATTTTGTTGTAATCTTACTTATGAGTACGATATATGTTGAGTCTTGAGAAATTCTAGCATATTGCTGAAGTGTGGGTGACTTTGGGACTCTCTGAAATAGTTGGTTTCAGTCTGCTATGGGCTACGGCTCTAATGTCAGTTTGCTTTTTAAAGACTCTGCAGTCCTATTTGGGTCTGCTCTGTGAATGTACCACTTAATGGACTGCCTGGGACCTGACGGGAGGTCTCCCTCAGGCCTCTAAATCTGTGGTATGATAAGCAGGATCACATCCATGACTATGTAGGTCTAGGTGAGCCTGTGAGTTCATATATGACTACAAGGGATTGCTTTCCAGAGCTCTTCTCTATTACCTCAGAAGCATTTCCTGGTTCTCAGGACTCCCCTTTAGGTTTTCTGGCTAGAAAATGCCCACTTCTGTGAAGTGCCACATCTATGGCCAAATGGTGGGAGAACAGAGAGCAAGGCCAAAGAGGCAATGGGGTTCAGCCTTGGGGGAAGTGGGCCGTGCTCCCTCGGAGCTTTGGCTCCTGCATATACCTCCTGCCTGCTGAGGGCTACTCTCGCCACTGCCACCACCAGCCCTGCCACAGAAGGACCTGGAGGGGAGGGCAGGAGAGAATGAAGAAAAGGAAGAAAACTGAGTGTCCATCCTCCACTCTGAGCTTTAGGAGTTGCTCACTCCCTAAGTCAGACCCAGAGTGCTTTTCTGGATCTCTGTCTGCACTACAGTGCTCACTTTCAGGTTTCAGGCTGCACTGAGCTCAGGCTGAGAAATATTGGATTCAAAAAAACAAAAAACAAAACAAAACAACAACAAAAAACAGAAATTCAGCACTACTTTGGTGGCACTTTGAATTTGGGTGCTCTCCCTCTACCCACTTAGTGATATTTATTTCTCAGAGTTCTCAAATAGCTGTCCACATATCCTGTCCAGGTTTAATAGTCAAGTTTGACAAAAGACAAAGGAGGTGTGTTCTAAACTATCTTACCCAGAAGCAGAAGTTGATCAATGACTTTTCTTTTTGAGAGAGATTTTTGCTACAGGGCATGTGTGATTATCAGAGAGACAGAGACAGAGAGACAGAAAGCGAGAAATCACACCCCAGAAGAGATGGTCATGCTGCAGTACCTTCTCCTCCATTCTCCTCTTGAGATTGTGGGCATGCATGCACATGCACCTGGTGTGAGTTTTAAGCTGCCAGGTCTAGGACTCAAGCCACGGTTGACAACATGGGTGACCATTACGCCATCTGCTAGCCTTGATCATTAACTTTTAAATTAAATCACACTTTTAATTAAATGTGGTGAGCCCTGACTACCTCCTGATTGCAAGTTTCCTCTTCCTAACCTGCTCTGCCCTATGCCGGCCAGGCGTTCACTCACCTGTCCCTGTGCTGACGCCGATTGGTGGTCAAGGCCACAGCAATGTTGTCCCAAGCTTTCCAAACTTCCCCTTGGCCTGGGCTCTCACAGCCCAGCTGGCGCCAGCACTCATCAAACACTGCTTTCCACTTCTCATCGGCTGGCACTGACAGGTTTCCAAGCTTCCTGCTAATGAAGTCAGGTGAACCTCTTATTAATCACTTTTGTGCAAAATCATCTTAAAGAATAGAAACTGTCGAAGATAACACTAGAAATGCTTCTGTGACCCAAACTGACTAACTGATGGTCACTCAACTTTCCAAACACTGAATACAAATATTAAAGGGACAGTTAGCTAATTAATGTTTATTGAGTACTAAAGTGTATAGATGGTTAAGAAAGAAGCACATCAGAACTGACTTCTCTGTGTCCTGTATTTCCATAGAATTGATTTGGTAAAACTGAATCCTGTTAAAACAAGAACTTTCTGTACTTTGCTCATCTCATAATGAGAATTATGAAATTGCATTTCATACTGGGTTCTAAAAATATTCTAAGAATAAATATGGTACAAAAAACTATATTGAGCTTTCATAAGAACAAAGAACCTCAGATGCTACCAAAATATAAAGAAACAGCTAGGGCTATAATCAACAAAAGAAGACAGGCATACGCCCAAAACCTGGAAGAACCATGCACATTTAGATTTTGCCTTTTTTTTTTCTTACATGCAGACTGTAACATTCCACTTGTTATGTATACATAGGTTTGACCTTTATGTTTTAAAATCAGGTTGTATAGGAATTCTACTTATGAAAAAGTCAACTCAGACACCTGCCACATTAACAGTATGATTACTTTCACATGTAGAACTTTTATTTTAACCATTTATGTTAAAGGGTTAGGCCAAGACTACAGATTTAGACAAAAAACAGAAATTCAGCACTACTTTGGTGGCACTTTGAATTTGGGTGCTCTCCCTCTACCCACTTAGTGATATTTATTTCTCAGAGTTCTCAAATAGCTGTCCACATATCCTGTCCAGGTTTAATAGTCAAGTTTGACAAAAGACAAAGGAGGTGTGTTCTAAACTATCTTACCCAGAAGCAGAAGTTGATCAATGACTTTTCTTTTTGAGAGAGATTTTTGCTACAGGGCATGTGTGATTATCAGAGAGACAGAGACAGAGAGACAGAAAGCGAGAAATCACACCCCAGCAGAGATGGTCATGCTGCAGTACCTTCTCCTCCATTCTCCTCTTGAGATTGTGGGCATGCATGCACATGCACCTGGTGTGAGTTTTAAGCTGCCAGGTCTAGGACTCAAGCCACGGTTGACAACATGGGTGACCATTACGCCATCTGCTAGCCTTGATCATTAACTTTTAAATTAAATCACACTTTTAATTAAATGTGGTGAGCCCTGACTACCTCCTGATTGCAAGTTTCCTCTTCCTAACCTGCTCTGCCCTATGCCGGCCAGGCGTTCACTCACCTGTCCCTGTGCTGACGCCGATTGGTGGTCAAGGCCACAGCAATGTTGTCCCAAGCTTTCCAAACTTCCCCTTGGCCTGGGCTCTCACAGCCCAGCTGGCGCCAGCACTCATCAAACACTGCTTTCCACTTCTCATCGGCTGGCACTGACAGGTTTCCAAGCTTCCTGCTAATGAAGTCAGGTGAACCTCTTATTAATCACTTTTGTGCAAAATCATCTTAAAGAATAGAAACTGTCGAAGATAACACTAGAAATGCTTCTGTGACCCAAACTGACTAACTGATGGTCACTCAACTTTCCAAACACTGAATACAAATATTAAAGGGACAGTTAGCTAATTAATGTTTATTGAGTACTAAAGTGTATAGATGGTTAAGAAAGAAGCACATCAGAACTGACTTCTCTGTGTCCTGTATTTCCATAGAATTGATTTGGTAAAACTGAATCCTGTTAAAACAAGAACTTTCTGTACTTTGCTCATCTCATAATGAGAATTATGAAATTGCATTTCATACTGGGTTCTAAAAATATTCTAAGAATAAATATGGTACAAAAAACTATATTGAGCTTTCATAAGAACAAAGAACCTCAGATGCTACCAAAATATAAAGAAACAGCTAGGGCTATAATCAACAAAAGAAGACAGGCATACGCCCAAAACCTGGAAGAACCATGCACATTTAGATTTTGCCTTTTTTTTTTCTTACATGCAGACTGTAACATTCCACTTGTTATGTATACATAGGTTTGACCTTTATGTTTTAAAATCAGGTTGTATAGGAATTCTACTTATGAAAAAGTCAACTCAGACACCTGCCACATTAACAGTATGATTACTTTCACATGTAGAACTTTTATTTTAACCATTTATGTTAAAGGGTTAGGCCAAGACTACAGATTTAGCTCCCTATAGAAGTGTCCATTGACAATTCAAGAAGATCAGTTACACCTTGTTAAAAAAAAAAAAAAAAAACAACCTTAAAAACTTGGTTTTACTTTTAAAATATTAACTAGCTTTGATAAAATCAAAATAACTCAAGGTATTCAATCATTAATCCAGAATTAATAAAGTTACTCACAAAACTTTGGGTTTGTCTTTATCACTCTCATACAGACTAGGTTTGAAGTAGGTTCCAGTGATTTTTATACCAGACCCCCATTCTCCACTAAAATAACCTTCAATGTAATCTCCATTTGGCATAGTCAGTGTTCCCTAGATAAAGTGAGAAGAAAAACTGTGGAGTTAGAGGAAGTATTTTTATTTTAAAAAATCCAGAGACAAAAAAAAGCACTAAATGGTTAACATTTCCCCTTTTCATTTGTTCTTTACCATCTCCAACTCTTTAAAAAACAAAAACAAAAAATAAGGTGTACATACATGTCCAAAAAGAGCATATGAAAATCAATGGAATAAATTACAAACAAACAAAATCATTCAAGTGAATTTAAGGGCCATTTTCAAGGTATATAAACTAGCTGTTAAAAACAGTAAAAGAATGGAGCCAGTTGGTAGCGCAGTAGTTGGGATGGCTAGAACCCATATGGCCGACTGCGCAGTTGGAGTTCTGGACCCAGCAGCTTGAGAGGCACGCCAGGTGCACGTGCGTGTGTGTCTAAGGTCCTCACACTGAGGGGTGGCCATACCCTATGGAGGGTGCATTCTCTCCCCTTGCCCTGTTTTTATTTTTTTCTGACAAGTGTAAGCACCCTATAGCAAATTTAAAAAGAAAAAAAAAATGGTAAAGGAATGTATTAGAGAAAGTAAGTTACTTTCTAACCTTTCCACTAAGAGTCCAATCATCTGAAAATTCTCCCTCATAGATAGTATCATCTTCGGAAAGTAAAACTCCATTTCCCTAAGTGAAGAAACAACAAAAATTGTTAACACATAAAATGTAGAGTAACTTACATGCAGCCATATTCCTAAAGTCTACTGTAATCTTAAAAGATGACAAAAAAAACAGTAGTAAAAAGGTAGAACACTAATAAAAGAATAATTTTCTTAAATTAGGGAGTAAGAATTAAAAAAAATCAACAGTAACAGTCCCATAGTTCAGTGGTTAAGGGAGTCAGCTCCCACAAGGTCAACTACAGTTCTAATCCCAGCCCCGAGGTGTAAAAAAACATGCTAGGCACATGTGCATGTATGTTCAAAATCCTGAGGGGATAGAAAAATGGGGGCCAGCAGGTGGTGTGGTGGTTAAGGGCGCTGGACTCCCACATAGTTGACAGTGGTTTGAGTCCCATACCTGGTGGCTTGCTTTCTCTCTTTCTCTCTCTGTACACGTGTGCCTCTCTCTCTCTGCCCCTCGCTGGTCAAATTAAAATAAATAAAGTTAAATAAAATAATTATTAAAAAAAAAAGAGAGAGACAAATGGGGTGGGGTGACTGTAGTCCCCCTCCTACCTGGCTAAGCTCATAAACCCTCTGGCAATTAAAAAAAAAAAAAATCACCAGTAACTATGTACAGATCACTCACCATCATTTTATTAAGGTGGAAGTTGCCTTCATAGTATAATCCAAACTGGGTGACTACCACCCCGTTCCCTTGACAAACATCATCTTGCCACATCCCCATATACTTTTCCCCCCTGCAAAGAAATAGAAATTAAAAAATAAAATAAAATAAAATAAAACAATGACAACAAAGAGAAAGTAAGGAAAAGCAATTGTCACACCAGAAATCCAAAGGGTATTTTCTCAGTTGGCACTGACTCCATTGGGCTAGTGAAAGTGGTTAACTCTGTCTCCTCCAACACGAGACACTGTGATGGTGTACGATGTCTCACTGCAATCTGCTCTCAGGAACATACTGAGGCAACCTATCTGACACAGATCTGCATATGCTCCAGGACACTGTTGGTAACTTTAAAAAATCTGTGATTTAAAAAAATGCCAAGTATGCAACTTTAAATATTTTCATTAAAAATGTAACAGGCAGAATCAAACCTATGAGCATTTTTTTTCATGTTCAAAAATTTGCTAACTTAAAAAAGAAAATGTCATAAAAGGAGGATCATTTTTTTTACTTACTCATATTTAGAAAAATCTTTATCTCCATTAAAAAAATGTAAGTGTAAACTACTTGTTAAATAATTATGAAGTTTAGTAATTATAGTAAATTTTTAATTAAAAGAAATTCAAAAAATGTTGTAACTTTTATCTTTATATTCTTTTCTTTTTAGTGTTTTGTTACAGAGTGTCTGCATAAGACGGAGACAGAGAGAGGAAAACTGAGAAACCATACACCACCCCCTCCCCGGGGGATGCCCATACCACAATCTCTTCTCCTCCATCCTCCTCTCAGGATCTTGAGAACACATGTACAAGCACATACACAAAGCCAAGCATACTTTTCAAGACACCAGGTCTGGGACTTGAAACGTGCAGTCAGCCATGTGGGATCCAGCACCTTAACTACCATGTCACCTGCTGGCCCCATCACAGAACATTTTTAACATCCCATTAAGGGAGCTGTGGTATTTAATAACATGAGAGGGAGAAAATATATGTTGAGCCCCAAGCAGATATAGAGGCAAAAGAACTATATTCTTTCCCCCTTGTTAAGTTAACTGAATTTAACTTGGCTGATTCCTAGTTCCTGGCATGGTAACAAGTCTCTGATCTGATAGGAAGACCTATTCAGAAAGTTGTTTAGGTATTCTATAACCCCAAAGAAAATTTTCACTGGGTCTCCCCTACCTTTTATTCTTATTTTCTATTGGCTGCATTATAAATTTTTCTTCTTACAAAAGAGAAGAAAAGAAGGTGTTAGCTTCTTTGAGACACTAAAACTTTGTATGCGTGAGGCTTTAAGGAAAATAGTACTAATGTTAATTCTGATTGATCCTGATCCTGTAAAGAAATAACTTGTTTGGTCCACAAACAGATACAATGATACCTGTCAATATTGTTTGCTTATTAAAAATCTTCTCAATATTATTGAATTAAGATGCTCAGCATTCATCAAATTATCACTATAGGGGCTAATCCTCTCACACTAATTTTTGAGTTTAGAAGCAGAATACTGTACCTAGTGATATCATCAAAGACACCATATCCTGCTTTCTTATCCAATACCCATTGGCCAATGAACATACTGGGGGAAGAGGAAGTCAATTTTCCGCTTCGTAGGAGACCATGGCCATGACGCATGTTATCTTGAAAACAGCCTTCAAATACTTCACCAGAGGCATAACTGTGGTCGGAAAGAATGGATAAAGATCAAATGCACACTGAATTCCGATGCTCATCTTTTATTTATTTATTTTCTTTAAACTGCCAGAGGACATGTGTGCTTGCCATAGAGACTGAGAGAGGCATGGGGACATGGTCACACCACCATCCATTTGTCTCCATTTTTCCACCCCGTCAGAGCTTTGGGCATGAAATTTGGGCATGTATACACATAATGCCTGATGTGTATTACAAGCTGCCAAGGCCAGGATTCAAACCATGGTTGGCCACGTGGTATCTGACTCCTTTAGTCACTAGGCTATGGGGTCAGCACTGATGTTCACCTTTACATAGTTCAGGAAATCCAAAACTATAGTCAGTCTCACTAGCAGCTACAATTATTTTTTTGTATGATTATTTTTTAACCAATTAAAAAAAACTCATTACTGAATTACTGAGTCTAATAAGCTAAAAGGTATTATGGGTGGTATTCTACATTAACATAGGAAAAAATATGGTTTACTGTCTTACAGAAAAATGAAATAGTAAGTTATCTATGCGAGGACAAAACTGCCAGGCAGAGTGGCACTTGCTTGAAATTCCAGCTACTCAGGAGGCAGAGGCAGAGGATCATGAGTTTGAGGCCAGCCTGGGCAGCACAGACCCTATCTCTCAAAAAGGAAACAAAAAAAAAAAAAGGAAAAAATGAGATGTTTTGTTCATATCAGAACAGAGTATTCATGTACAAGATATATAAGAGAATGAGAAAGAATGGTTTATAACATATGTATAATTTGGATAAGAACTAAATTTAATAACTTAATATTTTCATCCCAGGTAAGAAACTGATTTTTAAAAGATGACTTTGTGCAGTTTCAGACATCCCTAGAAGAATAAACAGAATTTACTCCTTTGAAATTCTGGTTACTCAGGACCAGCAGTTAGTGTAATGGCTATGTTGCTAGACTCCCACATAGTCAGTCATGGTTTGAGTCCCAGACCTGGTGGCTTAAACTCACACCAGGCTCGTGTGCGTGCGTGCCCAAGATCCTGAGAGGAGACTAGAGGAGAAGGGATTGCGGTGTGGCCATCCCCTTGGGGGGTGATTTCTTGCTTTTTATCTCTCTGTCTCTCTCTGTCTATCTGGCGAGCGCACGCACCCTATAGCAAAAACCTCTCCAAAAAAAAGAAAAAAAAATTCCGGTTACTCAAACATTTAGGTTTATACAAGTTCTTTGAAAAAGCAACACCCAACAACCTCTCTGATGTTATTACCTATAGACTCCTTGACCACACATCTTTCCTTCTTTCCAATGGCCCACATAATGGTCTTCTTTGTTCAGTGCCTTGTTTGGGATTTTGTATTCTCCATACCTGACAAGGAAAATTTAAAAAACAAAACAGCTGAAGAGAATTTGTGACATTCACATTTTGTATATACAACAATACACATTTAACAAGGAGGACAGAGAAAAGATTTACTATAAAAGTAAAATGGCTAAACAGGTCTTAGTTTAAGCTATCTCTATTATCTAAGCGGTCTGGCAAGTCTCATCAGAGGAGCAGGACATCAAACCTACTATACTAAGAGATTAGATGTCTTGCCCCAAGTCCAATAAAACAGGAAGCCTGTGTCTTAAGCCTATCTCTGTCACTAATTAGCCACAATACGTTTAGTAAGCACAGGTTACCTAGCACCTTCATATGTACATTATGGGGGGACAAATCAGATTATTTAAAGTCTCTTCTCATTCTAAAAATCTGTTAACAAGTGATTAAAAGTCATTATTAAAATTTATATTATCTCACATACACACTCAAAACTGGCTACCCAAATGTACATTTGTTATATACTAAAATAAATTACTTCATTAACATGCTACAAAACAAGATAGATTTATCATGTAAATATATTTACAATGTTACAAAACATAACAAACTTACATCATTAGAATAATATATCACTTGGAGGACCAGCAGATGGCATAACGGTTATGTCACTGAACTCTCACATGGCTGACCATGGTTTGAATCCTCAACCCAGAAGCTTGAAACTTACGCCGGGCATGTGCACATGGCATGCCCAAAATTCAAAGAAGAGAATGGAGAAGAAGAATTGTGGCATGGCCATCGCCCCTTGTGGGGTGATTTCTTGCTTTCTGTCTCTCTGTCTCTCCAGAGAGTGCACATACCCTACAGCAAAAATCTCTCAAAAAATAAGAAAAAAAAAAAAAAAAGAGAGAGAATAATGTACCATTTGGAAGTTTCCCCTATAAATCACAGCAATTAAAGATGAAAGGAAATTTGGGACCAGCAGGTGATATAATGATTACGTTGCTGGACTCCCACATAGCTGACCACAGTTCAAGCCCCAGACCAGACAACTTAAAATATGCTGGGCACATGTGTGTGCATGCCCAACATCCCAAGAGGACAATGAAGGAAAAGGGTTTGCAGTGTGGCCATCCCCCAAGGGGGGTGATTTCTTGCTTTCTTTCTGTCTTCTGTCTCTTTCTATTTGGCGAGTGCATGTAGCAGAAATCTCTCTAAAAAAATTTTTTTTTAAAAAAAGATAAAAGGTAATTTTCTCTATGTTTTTTGTTAAAAGATGCACTACTATCTCAATAGTCTCTCTGTCAACATTACCCAACATTACTCTGCACAACTGTGAAATAGAAAACAGTCCTGTTTGAACAGATCGAGGCTCTACACCTGAAGGTCATAGGCTCTCAAGGCAAGCGGCCTGCTCTAGGCGGTCAGAGGCTGTACCCAGATCGCTAGCTTTCTTCACGCTCTCATGCCCTGACATGTTACATGGATTCCTAAAGACAAACAAATGAAATCTACTACTTGTATGAAAAGAAACTCTGCATGCAAATTAATGTCATTTATGACCAAACTTGACTTTACCATTTACACAATTTTCTTACCCATCTTCCAAGCCATTCCTGAACATGCCAGAATATATCTTTCCATCAGGCCACTTCAAAACCCCTCTGGAATGCATAAGCAAAGAAGAACGCATCTCAATTAATATTTCAGATAATTAATACTTTTGTTGTAATATGACTATCATCCTCAATCCAGACATGAATCGTTAACATTTTCACCTGCCATGAGGCTTCCCTGAGAGCCAGCGTCCATCGTAGGTTGCGTCTTTTAGGCGAGGATCCTTGTAGAAAGTGTATCTGGCACTGCGTGAGATGGGCGGCTCCTGCCTCTGAACACTGCCGCCACTTCCAGAAGGTGGGAGGTCAGATAACCCCCTCAGAGCCTGATCCACAGCTTGGCTTATAGCCCGTAGCCACTTAGTCTAGGAGCCAAAGGTAAATGTCAATAAGCTCAAGGCAACACTTCCATCAAGCACTGCTTTAAATCCTGCTCCTTTTCCTTGGTGTGAACATTTTTTGTTTGCTAATACTTTTTATTATTAACTGAGTAATACTGACTGATTAGCTTTTGAAATTCACTGCTATTTGTTTGAAATTAAGTCACACTGAAAAATAAAAAACCTGGGCTGGGTCTATGGCATAGTAGTTAAAGGATCCCACATGGCTCACTGTATGGTTCAAATTCTGGTCCTAACAGCTTGAGAAACACCTCGGGCAAGTATGTGTGCATACGTCAAATCTCAATAGAATGAAAAAATGGAGGAACCAGCAGATGGCATAACCCTTACATCACTGGACTCCCACGTAGTCGACCGTGGTTCGAGTCCCTGACCTGGTGGCTTGAACCTCATGCTGGGCACACATGTGTGCATGCCCAAGATCCCGAGAGAAGAATGGAAGAGAAGATACTGCAGTGTGGTCATCCCCTGCTGGGAAGTGATTTTTCACTTTCTGTCTCTCTGGCAAGCATACATACTCTATGGCTAAAATCTCTCTCTCTCTCAAAAGAAAAAAAAAGAAATAGAGGAGATATTACAGTGTGACCTCTGGGGAGTGTTTTGCTTTTAACAATTCTTTTGCTATACAGCATGTGTGCTCAAGAGAGACAGAGGGAGGGAAAGTGATAAAGCATTCCCCAGGGAGGATGACCATGCAGCAGTATCTTCTCTTCCATTCTCCTCTCAGGATTTTGGGCACACAAGCACACACGCCTGGCATGTTTTTCCAAGCTGCTACTTCTGGGATTCGAACCATGTAACTGGCCATGAAAGATCTAGTTGCCTTAACCACCAGGCTACCAGCTGGCCTGGGGAGCATTTTTCTACCTCTCCCTCTGTCTCCCTGTTTCTCTGGTGGATGCACATGCCCTCGGGAAGGTGGGGGGGGACATAAAAAATAATGATTAAAAACAACCCTACAGTTTTGGTTAGATGAAAATGTATCACACATAACTTTGAATCACTTGTAAAGTAAAAACAATTTTTATTTCTTCTTTAATAAAACAAGAAGCAGAAATATCTAGGACAAAAGTGGAAAGAAAATATCATAATGAACTAACCTTTTCCTGGGGCGTTGAGGAAACCAGAGTGAACTGCTCCTCAGGTGTAGTTATCTTTAAGCCATTCCTAAAACATTCACAAGGATAAAATGGGTATGGCACGCTGTCATTACAACACTGATTCCCAACATGAAAGGCAACCTAGTTATTTCAAGAGGAGCAAATGGGAATTAGATATAAATGCTCACACCCCAATCTGGGTCCCACAGTGGGGGAAAAGACACAGGAGATGCCTTTTCCCCACCTATCTTGATGTGTCATGATTTTCTCAATGGGTCTTTTTAAAAATTTTTTAAAAAAGTTTTTGCCATAGGGCGCATGCACTCAACGGTGAGAGGCAACAGAGAGAGGGAACATGAGAAACCATCACTGGGGGCATGGTCAGCCTGCAGTCCCTTCTCTTCCACTCTCCTCTCATGATTTCTGGGCACACATGCACAAGTGCCTGATGTGGTTTCAAAGCCACAGGGTCTGGGACTCAAACTGCACTCAGTCATGTGGGAATCCAGCACCTTAACCACCACGCCACCTGCTGGACCCTCAACAGGCCATTTTATTATCTGATGTGAGGTGAGCCTCTATCGCAATATGGGGAGGCAGCCTCTCAAACCTCCTGATGTTTTCTTCACACTCAAGGAAACAACCTCAATGATGCAAGGGAAGAACTAGAGGAGGTAGAGTGGGGAAAGGGGTACACTTACACACCACCAGCCTCTTCAGAAAGTGGCTCCACCCACAGTGTGGCCAAAGGGAAAACGTGGTGTGTGGAAAACTGAAACAGAGAACACAGAGGCACATCTGCCAAAGTTCACACACAACTTGGGGCTCTCTGCCCACATCCCCTTATCTCTGACCCATTTGGGCTGTTGTTCTCTTCCACACAACCCCCTCAAGAGAGTTATGTCCACGTGGATACCCCCATCTCTGCCACAGAGTCCCTGTAACATAGCTAACACCAGTGAGCTTCGCCATCTCTGCTGCAAAGTCCCCTTCACACAGCTCACACGTGAAGCTTTTAACTAAACAGCCTTGGAACTCCAGCCCATTCCATGAATACAAGCTACAGCTAAGCATTCCCTTATATCCAGTAGTTTCAACGAAATCACAACTTTGTTTTTTTTTTTCCTTTTTTAAACATTAACTGACAGTATAATGTAGTAGTAAGTCTGGGACTCCAGCTTCCAAGGCCTGTTGTGAAGTCAGGACTCTGGCCTACCTGGGCATGGACCAGGGCATCATTAAAGAGGATGAACCAATTCACAGAAAACCTTCCAGCATGCTGCAGAGACAGGGCTCGGTTACTGCTCTCACACAGCAGCCGGCGCTCTGGCTTCCTCAAGGAGTCCTGGAATTGAAAACAAGCACTAAGTCGATCACAATGACAACCTGCAAAGAGAAAATGAATCAACCTAAATCACACTTAGGGCCAATTTGCTGGTCACAGCTCAACCTGGTGTTAAATGTAAATTTATTGAGTTGTCAGAAAAATCCTGATGCACTTTTACATAGAAAAGCACATCCTGCATTTTTGCATAGAAAAAAATACGTCATGACTTCTGACAACCCAACAGAGGGGCTGTGAACACTTGATAAAATGAAAGCTCAAGAAAACTAAAAAGAAGACTGAAACAAACTAAAGAAGGCCAGGTAAATCCTCAAGTTATTCCTAGAAATGAGGGGAAGTGTGACATTTAGCACATCCGTTGCTGTGGTCCTTAGACATTTCGGGAAAATTGTCATTAAAACATTACCACAAACGAGTAAGGAACAGAGACAATTATGGCAACTGCTATGGAAATCCCTGGTGTTTGCTGGTAACAAACGACAGCTGGCATGGTTTACCGTCATTTTTCCAGGAAAGGTCTTCCAGAAACCCAGTGTGTACTCTGCTTCCTTCCTTTTCCTGCCGAGATGGAGAGCAAGAGACTCATAACAAGAACTGGAATCCTGCAGTTTCTGATATTCTGGAGATGTCTAGAGGCCAATAATGAAGGGGGGGGGGAGAAAGCATAAAACAGTGGTCCAGAATCTGCAGCCTCAGTGTGACTTGGATGTAGTATTGTATCAGGGAGACATAACCCAGCCCAAGAACAGAAGTACAACAAAGGGAGCTGGGAGAGAAGACAGGGTCTGGAAACACTCTACCACGTACAGGTGCATGTGAAACATGGGAATAACTCAAGGGGGACAAACAAACACTGGCAGTTATCAGCAAGGACAGCAGCAGAGAACTCAGCACGGGGCAGGAATTCTCAAGTATTTTAGACCTAGGAGCTCTTCTTTTGCACATGTGCTTTCTATCTATTGATGTTTACCATGTTAGAAAATATCAAGAAAAGAAATACTAAATGTTCTCACTCATATGTGGAAATTTAAAACAATGATTCATTGAACTTTAGAGAGTTCAACGATGACTACTACAGGCTGGGAAGGATTGGTGAGGAGGAGTGAAAGAGGAATACTGACTAATGGAAACAAAATTACAGACAGATGAGAGGAAAAATTTCTACTGTTATAAAATACAGTTAATAACAATTCATTACCTACGTCTGAGTAACTAAAAAAGGGGACTGTGACTCTTCCAACTCAAAGCACATAACAAATGGGTGAGATAATGGATATACTAATCATCCTGCTTAATCAACACACATTATACACTTGTACTGAAAAATCATGCTGTACTCAACAAATATGCACCAATTATGTCAATAAGAAAGGTTCCCCCAAATAAAAAAATCTTTATTGATTCATTACAAATAAAGTAACATTTTAAATGAAAAATACCTATTTTCCAAAACAAAAAAAAAATTATAGTGAGAAAAGTGACACTGAACTACGATTTTTTCAAATCTCTTTATTATCTGGATCAAAAGATGACAGCTGCATTTTTATATCTGCTTCTGCACTTAATTGGTTATGAGAAAGTGTTTAGCTGAAATAAATGAAGAAAATAAGGCCTTACAAAGCATATGAGTTGGAAAAGGGATCAGTATCTTACTAGCCATCTCAAAACACTGTAGATATTCTCTTTTGATAATATATTTTAAAATGGTAGTTTCTTTTTCTTTTCCTTTGAGAATGTGTGCACTCGCCAGAGAGACAGAAAGAGAGAAATCACCTCTGAGGGGATGGCCACACCACAATCCCTTCTCCATCCTCCTCTTGGGATTTTAGGCATGCATACACACACCCGGAGTGAGTTTTAAGCTGCCAGGTCTGGGATTCGAACTATGATCGACCATGTGGGACTCCAGCACCTTAACCACTAGGCCACCTGCTGACCCCTAAAAATAATAGTTTCTTAAAAGGCAGGCGCAATGTGCAATCTGAAAACATAGCAATAAACTTTTTGTACTCTGTAACATTAAAATCAACATGTCTATTTTGGACTTTTGAATAGATCTTTCACCGTACCTGATTTTGGAACACTGTGGATTAGACATCTGGAAAATACTGGTTGACTTAGTTATACAGATTTTCCAAACACTGTTGTTACATTTTTACCCATCTGTACTTTTGCACCGCAAATGACAAAATAACGACAAAGGCCAATTAGTAGTGTCAGAAAGCATTTCTGACTTTGTGAAAACCCTGAGAGGGTCTTTGGAAACACCTGAGATGCAAAGCCAGCCTCGAGACCCAATGTCCCGGAGCGGTAAAGTTGCTGTGCCACAGGGTGAGTGGGCAGAAGGCATGAGGAAAGGCTGGTCCCTCACATTCGCAAGTGAACGTGTCATGCTCCACATCTCTCAGGGCCGCTCAAATTCAGTTTTTCCATTCAGCAAAGAAACATTGAATGAATATTTATTACATACAGAACATTCTGCTAAGTGTTAGAGATAAAAACCTGTGTAAGGCATTGTTTTTGTCTTCTGGAGCTTCTAACTCGGCAGAGAAGAAAGAAAAACTACAACATACCAGAATAATGCATAATAATGTGGTGTGGTGAGTAGGTTAGAAATCACGAGACAATTCAGTAAAGTGGTTAAGAAGCAGGTTGGAGCCAGAGTGCCTGCTGTGCACTATGGCTCACCCATTCTCACCTGTGCCTCAATTCTCTGGTCTGTAAAAAGGAGACAGCAACACCTAGTCGACAGGTTGATGTGGGAATTAAAGGACTATATATAATACACTCGACAGTAACTGGTATCAGGAATGTGTTCAATAAATATTAAGTATTATTATTTTTATATGGGGAAGCTTAAAAATACATATATACACACATAAATGATGTCATGGTTAGGCTTGCTAAATTATAATTTACAGTGATGGAATGTAAGTGTATGTGTTTTGAAAAAAAAGTCCACAGATGATTTAGATTCCCTGTGTGATAAGGATGTTAAGTGAATAGTGAAGAAATAAAGTGCTAAAACACAGAGGATAAGGAAACTAATTCTCTTCTTTTTTAAAAAAAAAATATTTTTAAAGAATTATTTTTATTACATTTATTTATTTATTTATTTTATTTATTTTAATTTGACCAGAGAGGGACAGAGTGAGAAAGAGAAAGGGAAAATGAGAAAGCAAGCCACCAAGTCCAGGACTCGAACTGTGGTCAGCCATGTAGGAGCCCAGTGCCCTTAACCATCACACCACCTACTGGCCCCAAGGAGAAACTAATTCTTAAGAGATGGGAGGGGGGTGGGACCACCAGATGGTATAGTGGTTACATCACTAAACTCCCACATGGCCAACCGTGGTTCAAGTCCCAAATCCATCAGACTGAAACTCATACCAGGCGCATGTGTGTGCATGTCCAAAATCCCAAGAGGAGAATGGAGGAGAAGGAATTGTGGCATGGTCATCCCGGGTGGAGGGGGGGAGTGGCTATAACTTTCTGTCTCTTTGGCAAGCATAAACACCCTACAGCAAAACTCTACTTTTTTTTTTTTTTTTTTTTGAGAG